CGAACAATTATATGGCGAAATTGGAGGAACGTTTTCTACAAGAGGCAATACTAACACCAAAATTGTTAGTCCCGTTGACGGTGCTGATGGGACCTAGGCCAGGCCGAAACTGCAGTCCACTCCTGCGTGAATAAGAGCAACTTTTTGGAAGCAAGACTATATGAAATTTAATGGAGGCATGAGGCATACTGAACTGATTGTGGGAAAATTCAACCACCAGTACTGCATGATCTTAAACTAGATAGAATGAATACAGCTCTTATAGCATATCTACCGGTAGTCTCGTAAACCTATTTATTAACGGAGAAAATTTAGAAGAAACGATTGTTCGACCTCGATTTGAGTAGAGCGGTGGTTTCAGTTGACGATGCGACACTGTCACGCTGAGCGGCGCCGGGTTGTAGATGAGACTAGCGTCGGGACATTCCAGGTGAGAAAGCGGTGATGTTGAAGAAAGCATGCATTGTGGGCAATGGTTTTGCGCAAAGGTGGTATGTCGACGAGAGAGACGGGGCGCGAATCCTGCTCCAAATCATCAGAAGCAGGTGACTCGAAAGACTTAGAGCTAAATTGAATAATGCAATTGCTTCAAAAGATATATCTGCAGGTTTTTGTGTTTTTTTCCTTTAAAGACGAAGCTAAAAGAAGAGTGACATTATCTGTAGAATTCAACGGTTCACATTAATGGGAGAAACAGTACAATTACCTTCTATGGTAAAAGCAAATCTCCTTTTCAGTGTCCGTGCCTGAAACTCTAGTCAAACAGTACCGGACAGAGATTTCCAGATACTTTCCACCCATTACCATTTTTTACAAAAAGGTTTAAACTAACGAAAGCCGTTTATTCACATTTAATCAAGAATCTCATTAGCTAAAAGCAAAACACTCCTGAACTCAAAGGCATCGTTAAACCAATTAATAAGAGATATTTCAGAAATATACTTTACTGAAACTTGTTAAACCGAGCCTGTCAGCACGCAAAATAGAGTGTTTAGTATGGTCTAAAGTATCCGTATATAGAAAAGTTTCTAATCTCAATCTAGTCTAGGCCAATCAACACCTACCACGAAAGCTAAAACATCGATCGTAAAAAGGATAAGTTGTACAAGTATTTTATCATCGAGTAGCTAGGCTAAACAAAAATTTATAGTAATCATAGATCGGGTGTGAGAGCCTGCGATTTGAGTTTATCCTCGTAAATGTATGACAGAATCGGATGCTGCTAATGCACTTATCGTTTAGCAGCGCTAGCATGCCGCATTTACTTGCAAGTTAGACGGCCATTCCGGTTTGGTTCGACCTCCGTCAGCATTATCTAATCAGAATTTGTCTTAACTGGAATCATTTTAATGGTGACCCTGAAAAGCACATGCTGTAAGGTGTCCTCCATAACAGCAGCAGAGAATTTTTAGCTTTGGACATAGGCCTGGTACCTTTCCAGACGTTTTGCCGGCAATTTAGTCGACATCGTCAATAAGGACTGCTATTTTAAGCACCAAGCTTCAACTTGTCAAACCGATAAAGGAAGTCTAGTGTGACACAATTTACATTTCAAGGTGAAATTTGATTGAAAGGAATTTGTGATTTGGTCTCAATGGAAACCGAAGTATGACTGACTGCAGTGGAGTAGATATTGTTGGATTGTATGAAGCAGTCCTAAAATCAGTGTTCCGCGACCCCGAATAAGCCGTGCCAGGGTGTTGTCTGTCATGTGAAAGCCATCTTTAGAGCGAGGAAGTACGCCAAATAAAGAATCACACTAAATACATTAAGCCAGAAAATGAGGGTGGCCGGTTTCAATCATACTCAATTATTATGCTTAAATTTGCCATCCTAATGAGGCACGCCATGATTTGGTTGCCTATTTCATGCCTAATTCGTCTGCAGGAATGTAAGTTAGGCAGTTTCGATGTAACAAGTGAGTATAAGAACAGTATTAACCCTTTTTCATTTAACGCGATGAAGAACTGGTCGTTTAATTAGTCCATAATCAGTTGAGTTTGCCTCATGCTTTCGGTGAATTTTACATAATAATGCTTTCCAAAAGGTTCTCTCCCACACCCTTAGAGTCCTAACATACTGACCAATACGCTACAATGTCATGAAGAGCCTTGGGGCAGAAAG